ATGTATATAATATTTTAATGTGTACGATAAAATCATGGCGTAATAAATAGATAGACGAAAACATAACACCACAGACAAAATACTTTGGCTCTAAGCCAAAAAGAAATCTTTCCGCGGCATGAAAACATTGAATATGGCGCACATTCAACTTGACTATTGTTTGCATTGTTCTTTTATTATAAGTAAAAACAAACTTATACACTTCTGATTAAATGTACAATCATAATTGCATTCACAAGAATTTTGTGTGAGAAATATTAAAAACTTAGTTGTAAGGAGAAACGGAAATATTTTTTGGTTACGGGCCTCAAACACATCGAGTGTCTGGAAACGTTTAGTGCTCGACCAGCCACCGATGGAGCGCCCTTCCGTACCTGCCGTCCGTATCAACATATGACAACTTCACCGGCATGCACCGGTTTTACATCGGTGGCTGGTTGACCTCTCTCTAAACTATGATTTTTCGATTTTTCTAGTTTTTTTCAATTTAGATATCGCGAGATTTTGCTTCATTAGGAGCATTCATGCAACACCGAGTGTTTGCTCTTAAATTCACCTCTATACATATATCTTAAATTCACCTCTATATATATTGCTTCCGATAACCGTACAACTACAGAAGACTCCCTCTTTCTAAGGCAAACTAATAAATCAGATCAGTGGGTATCATGAGGGAGGCTCTAAATGTTCTAAATCATTCTTAGATCTACATACGTATCACTTCCAACGATATGGAACCTTGTTAGGTTACGATCGAAAATAAATAATGTCGATATCTTTACCATTTAAATAATATGTAATGTAGTTCTTCTGTTTTGTTTTTCTGATTTCCACAGATCCATTTGGTCGATGAATTCGACATTTTACAAATTGTGGGTGAAGGATGGTTTGGAAAAATTTTGCTGGTCGAACATCGCGGCTCGCAAACCGAAATGGTGTTGAAGGCCGTGCCAAAGCCATACGTCTCAATTCGTGACTTCTTTAGAGAATTCCATTATGGACTGCATCTGGGCATACACCGGAATATAGTGACCACATATGATGTGGCCTTCGAGACAGCGGGTTTCTATATATTCACTCAAGAGTATGCGCCACTAGGTAAGCGGCGAGCTGTACTTTGCTAATACGAATTTTGTCTATTATATATTTTTGGTTTTCGCCAACGAATTGAAGGTGATCTCACATCTAACATGACCGATACAGGAGTTGGTGAAGAATACTCTAAGCGTTTGGCCAAACAGATCGGTGCGGCCTTGGATTACATGCATTCAAAGTGAGTACCAAGGACATGAATGGATCGATGTAAGTCATCTTAATGTTGTTTCTAATTTAGAGACATTGTACATCGAGATGTGAAACTGGATAATGTGCTAATATATCGATCGGATTTTACACGTGTCAAAATATGCGACTTCGGCGAATCCTATCAGGCGGGCACCATTGTTGAGCGCCGCAACGAATGGCTCCCCTATAGTCCACCAGAAGTATTAGAAATCAAACCGGAAGGCACATACACGTAAATATAACGTTGGATAGGAAGAGAAAATGTTCATTGCATACATAACTAATTGGAACCATTACTTACAGAGCCGAACCCAGCCATGATGTTTGGCAATTTGGCATTGTCATCTTTGTCTGTCTGACTGGCTGTTTGCCTTGGCAAAAGGCCGCCTCCGATGATCCGCGTTATGTACGTTACCTAGCGTGGTTTGGCGCAAACATTCTGCCCATGCGTCGGACACCGAAACTCTTTAAGTTACTCACTTCGCGCGCTCAGCGCATGTTTAAACGCTTTTTGGATCCACGCGCGGAGAGACGACCGAAAAATTTAACTGATTTAGCAAAGTTCCTTGACGATCGTTGGTTATCAAAAACAGCCGAAAAAGAAATGGCCGAATATGAAACCGATGAGCTATGTCCGTCCATGTATTCCTTTCATAGCAGCCCCGATGAAAAGAACCGACTACTCTACACACTGGCTAATTGTGGCCTAGAGACAAATGTCGATCGGCAATCAAAGAAAAATCGCATCAAAGATTGGATCGAGGCATCCGTTATAACAGAGGAGGATGAGGTAAGCAGTGTATTGGAAAAATACTGTTTTTATTCGTGGTTGCCAAAATCCGTGATATTACACATTAAGGAATTTGTATTTAAAGTACATTGAAAAAAACTATTAGGCACAACGCGAATTTAGAAAGGGACACAAAATTCATTGCAGCGCTTGAAAGAATTTTTTATTGAAAACATATTTTCTATTTGCAGGAGGAGCTGGACGATGCCTCGCCCTCATCTTCAGTGTCTCGTGAGCCAGTTGCTGGACACATCTCTTCCATTCGTGCCACCCTGGAGAAAAACAACGGATTCAACACCACTCTGAAGGATGCTGCTCAAAAACATTTTGACCCCCGCACTGGCGCTTTGCAGGAGGGTCCCAGCGAAATGGGCGCCATCACGCAGACACACCAAAAATCATACAGTCCTTCAATTGGCAACATGTCTACAATGAATAACGGTGATAGCCTTGCCGGCAGTCTGTTGACGTTGGGCTCCCGCCCGGATCTACTACAAAGTCATTTAGAAATCTATAATTCTGATTTCAATTTGAGCCGTTTAGGTGAGCAAACAAAATCAGCTCAATTCTACGGGCATAACCAATCGCTTAGCAGCAACAATTTACTAATGGCCGACTATGAAACGGCTTATAATTACTCAAAGAATAAAAGCAGCGGTGCCGTTGCTACGAAATCTGTTGGCTTAGACACGTATGGACTGCCAAATGAACATAGGAAAAGCGCTTTAAAGCGAACTAAATCTGATTCTGTAAAAACCGTTATGTTCGCTAGTATGCCTGCTATCAATAATAGTGACGCTTATGCTGCTGGATTTAAATTGCCGCAAACGCAGCCACTAAACAATGCTACTAATCAAACGCTAACCAGTGCTAATGCACCAAATGCCACATCTTTTTCTTCAAATGCAAATATTACTAACGATAGCAATATGCTCATAGGCAGCGGCGATGCAACGAAGCCCAATTCATCTGTGACGTTGTCGGGACTAGCTAATGCCTTCCATTCACTTGCCTCGATCTCACTACCGACTAAGGCAGGCACTCCGGAAAAGCACCAGCAGCAGCAGCAGCATCAGCAACAAGAACTGCAAAAGCAAGCCCAGCAGCAACTTAAGCAGCAACAGTTCGCAACACATTATTTAAAACAACAAGAGAATGGTTCCTCAGTCAGAGATAGCGCCTACGGATCTGCAGAGGTCAGCGAGGGTCCATCGCGAACAGTAAGCTATGCCTCGATGAAACCACAATTCAATGGTAATGCTGATTATCAGAATGGCGGTCAGACAAATGGTAACCGTAGCCGCGCTTTGAGTCCAGATGGGCGTCAACGACGGCCAGAGGAACATCAGATTTATAGAGGTGCGCGAACGGGTAGCTTAAAAGATTCGCCCTATGATAGGATCACTGTGACAAATAATAAGAACAATCGAAGATAAATTGAGCAGTGCCACCAAAGATATCCATTCAAATAAAAGTGATACCACTGATATGTCTAGTCTTAAAAGTTCGCTTTTCGTCTTTACATACATACATACATATGTTAAATACCCCCTTTTTTAAACCTAACTATAAAGCTACAATAAATAAATGTAAAATAAACAGTAAATTATAGCAGTTTCGGTTGAAACGCTTTAAAAGCTTCCATACAAGTATTCGAAGTATCAGTCGTACGACAGTCGGTTCCATTTGCCGCAATGACTCGGGTTTTGGTGATCTAACCCTATTTAGAACGGTCAACCGTTGTCTGTCCGTTTAGCAACACACTTCAGCATAGTTGTTCGTATACTTCTGTTTGGGGCAGCATTGAGTCCAATCAGACCAAAAATCTGCTTCGGCTCCGCATTCTAGAGACGGGTGTAGCCTGGTTTGAGCCTAGGTTCACAATACATATGGCCCTACCATGTCGGTGTCTAATTCGCGCACTACGCCGATGCAAGCAAGCAACCAAGAAGCCACGGGCTCACCTAAGCAACAGATGAACTTCTTACGCATTCCTCCCGCTCACCCACTGACATCCGGCATCAAATATCGTGTGAGGCCCAACTACATAGTAGCTTATGGTCTCTTGTTGTTGTTGTGGTTTTTGTCGTGGCACTACTAAGCCTCACCTACTTCGGTTCATCCTTCAATCATTGCCGTCAAGCTCAACTAACGGTAGGCCAAGAAGGAGAGGGGTGTTAGCTGAGTGGGAATGAGCTGATCTGTGAAGAGTTGGTTGGTTACATGCGGGTAGTCTCCACGTCGGACACTCATTGGGGATATTTGGGTCGAATCTGGACAGGTAGCTGTTGAGGCGGCTATGGTATCCATACCGTAACTGGGCCTAGGTAACGCGGGTCTCTTTTGGAAGTTGAAGCGGTGCTTTGGCTCCGATCATTGCATTCATACGCCGAGTGTCGGGGTAGGCGGTTACCGACTCCGTATAAATCTCTTTGATCGCTCGTCGGTGCATCGTCGGGTACAGTGGTTGGTCGATGTATGTCTAGACCGCGTCCTTATATATGACCCTCTAGCAAGGGTATGTTAGGCTGTTCACTTCACTGCTTACAGAGCATTTTGTTGTGCTCCCTTACGGGGAGGAACTGGACTTGACAAGGCATCCTTTCGCTATCCGGAGTGCGGCGTTCTGACAAATCTGTAGCTTCGTCCACTGCGTCCAACTTGTCCTCGGCGACCCAACTGGCGGAGCATAATTTAGAACCGGCCGGCCAATCGCCTTGTATGTTGCCAGCAACACTTCTTTGCCGGTGAGCGACAACTGCGGTTGTGTGCGTGGAGAGGACGATCAGGCTATGAGAGGTCGCCCCTAAAACTTTAGGCGGGTTTACTGTCGGTATTGGTGTGCTATTGGGGTGAATGCCCAACTCAAGCCTGACCCCCATAGTCCAGGTGGTGAAGAGGGTCGCCGTTGATTTTGTTGCGGAGTGTGTAGAGATAGCCGTTTATTTTTGAGCAGAGGTCATTAATTCCATTCCCAGACGCCAATATCGAGCAGTTGTCAGCGCATGAGATCAGAGAAACTCGCTCAGGTAGCTGGGGGAGTTTTGAGATATAGAAGTTAAACAGTAAGGGGGAGAGGACACCACCCTGTGGAACCTCTTGTTTTATTCTTCTAGGTTTCGAGGTTTGATCTCGGAAGATAACTGACGACTGTCGACCACTAATATAATTTGCCGGCCACCGTTTGAATCCCTGTGGGAGAGAGGAATCCTCAACGTCTTCTAGCAGCTTGGAATGACAGACGGTGTTAAACGCCTTTGACAAGTTCAACGCTACTAGGACTAGGAGTTTTATGGGTGTTTATGGCGTTAAGTGTTGTGGTTATGCTATGCACTTTAGTGGTCAGGTGGTAGGTGAATTACGGGAGTAGCAGGGCCTCTAGTGTCTTCGCGACCGGTGAAAGGAGCGGTATCGGGTAATAGAGTATCCTTTGTTGGCTGGTTTCCCCGGTTTCAGCAGTGGGTCCACTTTCCCTGATTGATAGGTTGAGGATCTCCGTTAGGTATGCTACTCCCGCGGGCCCCATATGTTTCAGCATCAGCATACAGATTCACTTCGAAGCTGGTGAAAACAAGTGGTGCGCTATTTTTGGGCAGTCTGTGCAGCCTCCTGGTCACTCGATGTTTGGCCTTGTCTACCGAAGGATGCAGTGTAAACTGCTGGCTAAAATAGCTCTCGCATATCTTTAGGTCCGACGAGATGCGACCATCGAAAGAAATTTCCACTCTGTCGTCGCGGCTCTTGGGGTTGGACAAGGACCTCAAGGTTGACCAGAGCTTACTCACACCAGAGGCGAAGTTAAATGTCTTCAAGTGCCCTTCCCACTTTTTCCTCTCATGCTGGTTTACCAGTAGCCGAATCTCCAAATTAAGGTCGTTCAGGCGAGGGCCCATAGAATCGACCTGGCGTAGGTGGTCACGCTCATTTGCTAGAACAGCTACTTCAGCCGGGAAATTCGGGCGGACTTCCGCGATGCGTCCGGATGGTATGAAACAAGCCGCTGCGCCAGTGACTACCCTGCGGACTTTGCCAGCCTATACATCTGCCAGCGTATCCACTCAGCTTTGTTGAAGTTGATGTCGGACTGAGGACTGCTATATCTTCAATCTTGCTCTGGAGTCCGTTGACGTTCAGTTGTAGGAGTTTCGTATGTCATGGGAGGCTGGTCCCGATACGAGGGGTAAGCGACGTGTGGGGTCTCCCTTAGGCCTGTTGCGTCCGCCGCAGCAGTGCTCTGCAGCAGGCGGCGCGGTAGCTTGTTGTCCATCGCGTGTGGTGCGTATGCCATAGCATAGGTGGAAGTGGCACCAACCAAGGTATGTGTTGCATTTGACGGATGCCACATTCCGGTATACCCTATTCAGGCACACGTAGCAGCTGGTGTGGGCAACCGAGAGCTGCTACTTGGCTCGCACACGCGATTTGGGGAGGCTGGTAGAATGGTATGAGGGGTGATGGGGTGGGCAGTTTTACTGATGTTCAGGGGAGCTTCTTTAAGCCGTGTAGGCTCTTTAGATGCTAGTTCGCACCTGCGCGTTACGTGAGCGGCTAGCCGTGGGGTTACAAAGCTTGTAGTCCACTCCCTGTGAGACCTAAGGGCAGAACAGGTTCTTAGGTTGCAGGAATTGCACCTATTGCGAAGTGGAGTTCGGATGCAGTCGTCTCTGTCAAAGGCAGCAGAAGTATGTTTCTAATCCGGGATTGGGCTCAATGCCAGCCCAAAGAAGAAGGATGCGGAGCCCTCCGGCTGGAAGGTATTGCTCCATTGGCGTGAATTGATTGATGGGTATCGCCGATCTAAACGGGGTTAGGTCGCCGAAACAACAGCCCTTGGTCGGGTAAAACCGTGTCATTTCGGTGCGTAGAACCGGCTCTCGTGGAAATGTCCGTTTTCGCCATCTTCATGTTCGTCTGCATCTCCGTCTTCGTATCCGTGGTTGGTCAGTAAGTGAATCATTGAAAGGTAATTTTGAATAAAAGTTAAAAACCGGCCCGCATGTATGTATGTACGAATGTAATTCAAATAGCTACATGTGTACCGATGATGAAAACATTTATAAAATATCGACTACTTTATTTTTTCTAGTCATTTACACCTTATTAGGCGTTCCGTAGTTCTACATATCCAGTTTATTTCCGTCTTGTGAAAGCGCTTCTCAGCCGGCTTTTTGCCATCAGAAATATATTTACGAAATTGGGAGCACTTGTACACAGAGTATTATACCTTTGTTCGCTTAACGGTTGTTTGTAACAGCCTAAGGGAATCGAGATAGATATAGACAAATGTATACTTAAATTATCAGAATAAAAAAAGAGAAATCGATTAAGCCATGTCTGTGCGTCCGTCCGTCTGTCCGGGCACACGATAACTCAAGCAAAAATTTATATATCTTTTATCCAAGGTAGGTTGCTATTGAAAATCCCCCATCTCATTAAACGGTATTTTCGAAAAACGCAAAAACTATGATATTTCAGTAAATATTAGATCCAATTTGTTCAAAATCAGTACGTGAATTACAATTTTGGTGCAAAATAATATTATTAAATTTTTGGAAAAGGGGCGGGACCCCGCCCACTTATGATGAAATGCTGTATCTTAATAGACGCCGCTTCACCAATCCTTACCAAACTCGGTACGAACCTTGCTTAGAATCCAGCTAAGAAATTTGTTGAAAATCTTTGAAATCTGACTGTAGCCCACCTCCCATATAACGGTAATTTACAGAAGAAATTATAAATTATATAAAATAAATTATAAAAAGCAATTCGTTGAAAATTATTCACATGGGACTAAAATTGCACCGGCTTCCCATATAACGGTATTTTCCGGCTATACGAAAACTCCGATATTTCAATAACTTGGTACGTTCATTTACTCCAAGTTAATACTTACCTAGTAAGACTGTTATAGCCTTTTAGGTATATAATTCGGTTTCGCCTGTTAAACTATGGGAACGATTTATTCACATGGAGTTGGCGATAAGGCTGATTATATACTGGATAATAGTTGTTCTCCAATTTTTAAGTTAACTGTTGTATATTCCATATAAAAACAAAATCTAGATTTACTTCAGACAGCTTCTAGCACGTTTAGTAAAACAGTGTTTGCATTTCTCAACTTTTTCAATGAAATTGGTCGACAGCCAACTTTCGTTCAAAGATTCAACGAATCGCCGGCGAAATGTTCCTACGGAATGTTTCTTTGACCGAAGCACTTATTGCTTCAGCTCACATCAATGAATGCATCTATGATCTGGTATAATTTAATGTATGTACAGAAAACGGGGCAAAACTGAATACCTTGAAACTCTTGCACTTACGATAAATAAAAAATAAGTTTGTTTTGTTAATCCTTATAAAACGAAGTCTCCCTTTATTTCTAACATTTACAGCCACAAAAACATTTTAACAAGGCAATGCAATATGCATTGATGAGAGCTGTTCGTAATGTTCCTTTGCCCTGTCCCGTTTACTTAAGTGGAATAAATCTGGAGCTGTGGGTGG